AGAGCAAGAGCAGGAACCACAGTCACGCAATTCACCGAAATGACACAGCTCCAGTTCTTGTAGATGCATCTGCAGTTGCATTTTAGTTGCAGATTCGCATAAATACATACATATGTATGTGTCGGGTGCTGTTACTGAAACCGTTTCTGTTTGTGCTTAGCTTGAATCTGTTTAACATTTCAGAGTCTTCAAAGCTTGTGATTTATTTAAGCAGTGCGATTTGATTGCAAATCTGGCAATTTACTTTTAGTAATTCCCTTTGTATCCTTCTAATGTAGTTAGTTGAAGGTTGAAGAACCTCTTGTCTCAATAATAATTTTGCTTTTAAGCCATCTTGATCAAATCAAGGTTAATATTTTCCGATTCAACGAATTAATGAACAAAAATATTATACGCTTTTATTGCTTTTTGAAATGTGTGCGTCTTTCGTTGGCATTTTAATCTGCAACTACTCGTCCTCCTCAGATCTCGTCTGTCATTCAAAATCTATTGAGCATGACGCTTGAGTATGGAAACCTTGTGGGTTTATGGGGAATGCTGTGCTCCATATTCGCTATCCTTAGTCAGTCAGACATGGTCTATTAATTTTATTAGTGTCATCGCATTCAGCTGAAGTCTCGGAATTCTGAATCTTTTTTGTGAGGAGTACCATTTTCTGTGGTGCACTTCTTATTTAGTTTCCTGCAGTTCTTGCGTGTCGCTCATGTACACTCATGGACATAATAATAGGGGTTGCCCTATATTATATAAAATTATAAAATTAAATTCTGTTATAAAGTAGTAAAACAGGCAAAGAATGTGAATGACCCCATATATTAAATATTAAACGAGTGGAATGCCTATACACCTTTAATTATGCTTATAAGTGTTAGTAGTGCAGTAAGCTAACAAAAGTAAGGCAGTAAGGCAACAAAAAATGTTAGGGCTTCTGAGTTTTTGTACGTATCTTCTTTTTGCTCATATTAAAGCTTTTACCACAAAACACTTGCGAATAGTAGCTTCATGCCCAACAGAACAATTAAAACATTTATAACTTATGATTTATGTGCTGCGTAAGTTTCGTAACTTCCACTTCAGAATGCCTGGTTCTGTTCACGGTTCAAAACGCCAAACAGGTTCGTTGTGAGACTTTAAAGTTAATTTTGGTGAATGGAAACATCTATATTGTTATATTGCAAGAGAGAACGCTATAGTAAAGTTCCCCGAATACCAGATACCCGTGCGAGGCGTAGAGCCTGGCTAATCTTGACTAACTAGATTGTATAGTTTCCGAGATTTCGACGTTCATTCGATGTTCATTTTACGTAAGTAAGACATTACCAATTCCTTGCTTTAAGTGCTTAAAAATGCTCAAAGTAGGAGTAAGCAAACAGAGATACGGGGCAAACAAATACAGCACGGTGGCACTGTAGGGCAACGACACTACAGTAAACACTGCAGCCAGTGGACGCAGCGAGGCGTGCTAATTGTGTCATTTACATGGGCAAACAAGTGCAAGCGAACAAGTCAAAGGCTCAAACAGTTAAATGCGGCTGGCGGATTCGCCGAGCTCTTTGCACAGTGCAATTAACGCTGACCGCGGGCTGGCAAGAAGAACCAATAAGTAATTAATGGTAATTAAAAAAGGCAAAAAATTCTTGTCAGAAGTGGGATTCGAACCCACGCCTACAGAGTAGACTGCGACCTGAACGCAGCGCCTTAGACCACTCGGCCATCCTGACTTGACCAACCTGTGGACTGAGCACCAAAAAGATCACAGGCCATTTGATTTAGACGAAAGCGCAGTGAAAAGTTCTAGAGAGCTTTGATGGACTGAACATTGATCGATAGCAAAAACTCGATTGCACCCCATATATTCGATATATTTGTTCAGGAATAGATAACAATTTTAAACCAATATGCAAGTTACCGCTCAAGTACAACTAAAAAATAGTTTCGTTTATTCATTTATCCAGTATTTCATACGATCAAAAATATTATAATGCATTGATACTTAAGTGTAATAATTGTCTTACATCTTTACTACTCGTAACTCGCTTCGTTTTTACAATAATGATCTATTTGATCAGCATGACAAAATCGGAGATACGAGTACCACCTTCGAGTAACGCCTTCCCTCGCGATGTTTTCAGAAGTCGAAATTGCATCTTTGTATCATTTGAATTTTATTTAAAAGAAACGTAACGTTTCCACAAAAAATTGCTAAACGTTTCCTAAATATACATAAACTAAAAATATGACTACAATTTATTCAAAAGTTCTTGCACATCTAAAACAAATGTTATTACTTTTATAGTTTAACATATAGGCGATATTGTTGGCCTTTTAGTGATTTCAGTGTTTTTATATTTTGGTACTAAGTCTTTCATTTGTTGCTTATTAATTTTGACTTTTCTCGTTGTGTTTTAAATAATATATTTCATAAAATTCATTTGATGTCATTTTTTTTTAACTAAATTGAGCTAAAATATATATTACATTTGCCTTTGTAACCTTTATGCCTTTGTGTAATTAAAAATAATTTTTGGATGGTTCCATTTGTGTTTAGATGTATTTTTCTCTGCGCCAAAAATAAGCATTTGTAAGGGAAATTCTTCGGTTTTACTTTCAGTTGTGGCTTTTAATTCATAATCAAGTCGCTTTCATTTCTGCTGTCTACATTTCATTACTTCAAGAATTCCATAAATTTAACTTAGCATAGAGAAGTACACTAAATATTAGATTTATTTTACACATATATGCTTTTATATTGATGTGTATATTGTATGTACATAATTAATAGGCAACCACTTAAGCTTAATATAAAAATAAGTATTTTTCTGCAATATAAATTTGCCACAAAATGTACTATAAACCGAAAACTGTACAGTATACAATATTCCTTCTCATCATCGGCATTCAGTTATCATTACCATTATCATTGTCAATCTGTTGAACAGCATTCCTAAGCACATACACAGCGCATTTCCAAACCAAACCCAGCTGCAGCTATCTACCAAACAAGTCTTTGACGAACTTTATTAAAATGAGAAACGAGTAATTTTCGATTTCTAGCAAATAATATAAAACAAAAGCAAAAGGTATATGAGAACATTCCGTCTTTACATGCGCAATGTGACTATCGGCTTCCTGCATGTAGTGCCCGACATTTAGATCTTTTAGGACTTAAGCTAGTTTGGTTTTGGATTTCGTATGCATGCTTATGCTGTGTGGGGTGCTACTAAAAACAATTAGTACACACTAGCTTCATTGCTGCTGCTTTAATGTCTGCTTGTTGTTGTCGTTGCTGCATCTGATACCTCTGGCTTAGTACATTGACTTTCATGAGGCGTACATGCGGTTAATATCATGCTGATATCTGTCCTGGATATCCTTGCGCTTCAGCTTGAAGGCGGCGGTTACCAGTCCCATGTCCGGAGACCACACCTCCTTACACAGTGTGATTGCGGCGGGAACCTCATATTTTTGCAATTTGCCTTTTGGATTAAACAAAATGCCATTAAAATCTTCAAAAAATACCTAATTCTTCATTGTAGCTTACATTTCCGCGCATGCTCAGCGATTTCCTTGAGAATAGCTTTCTCTATGATCGGTGATGAGCACAGCTCTTCGAAGGTCTTTTCTCCCAGGCCATGTTTCTGTGCCAGCTCCTCCAAATGGTTTTGGTTAGGGACGACCAGCGCCACTGTGTACTGCTTTGTCGGATCTCCGTATACGCAAATGTTCTCGATGATTCCGCAAGTCTTTAGCTCAGATTCAACCTTGCCGAGAGAGACATATTCGCCGGCCTGCAGCTTAACCAGATCCTTCTTACGATCTGCAAAACGAGGGAAATAATAAATTGAAACAACAACCACTGTGTCAAGCAACTTACCAATAATCTTAAGTACGCCATCAGCTTGTATTTCGCCAATGTCGCCGGTTTTGAACCATCTTTGCCCATCTTCCTCGAAGAAATCTTCGTTGGTCTTGCCGGGTAACTTGTAGTATCCTTGGGAGACACACTCGCCGCCAATGAGGACCTCGCCCTGGGGATAAGGCTTATTTGTGACGCGGTAGTTGCCCTCTTCCCAGTTGACTAGACGGATGTCGCAGACAGTTAATGGTCCTCCAGTGCGTCCATAGGTCATATCGCGGTCTTGTATTGGGTGTAAGGTTAGTTAGTAATTTTGAAAAGAAAGGTTGATCTGCGGTCACTCACAGTCCATGACAGTGGCTCCAGACGTAGTCTCCGTAAGGCCATAGCCCTGGATCAGCTCCAAGCACAGACAGGTCTTGATTTGCTCATGTGTATCTGCTGACAGGGGCGCTCCACCGGACATGATAATGCGCACTTTACCACCCATAAGCTTTGCCACCTTCTTGAACACCAGTCTGCAAATAAACACTACATTTAGTGACCAACTCATGATGCTTATAGGCAAATCGTTCTTACTTGTCAATCAGCGGCGTCTTGTAGCCTCGCTGAACCCACTTTACTTTGTACTGGTAAAGGAATTTGAAGAGTGCTTTCTTGAACGCCGAGCCAGAGTTAACCTTGTCGTTAATGCCCTTGGAAATGCGATCTAGTATCAGCGGCACCGAAGTCATGCAGGTGGGCTTCAAAACGGTGGCATCGCCTTTACAGCCGCGCTTAATCTTGCTGCTAGTGTCGATCAAGGTCAGGGGGGTTGAGTAGCCAATTGGAACGCCGGTCATGAGACACACACTTTCCGCAACCAATTCAAAAACGTGAGCCAGGGGCAGGAATCCGATCAGAACATCATCCGGATAGATAGGCACCATATCAACAAAGCCCTTCATTGTTGCAATACAGTTCTTGTGGGAGAGCAGGACACCCTTAGGTGTACCAGTGGAGCCGGAAGTGTACATGATAATGGCAATGTCATCACCCTTGGGGGGAACGTGCTCTGTGGAATACAAAATAAAGTTAATTATTAACTGAACTCATTGCAATTTCACTTTCACTTAAGCATACAAATTTTAATATATATAAAGTATTTGGCGCAGAGCATGCTTTACATATCCTGTCAACATTTCAGTATCGAATCAGTATCGGTAAACAGAAAAAACTCTTTCCAAATTGTGTAGGGTTATTTTTTAGTTTCGCAATTCGAAATGGCTGAAATCCTGGAAGAGTTCATCACCCTGACGCCCTTGACTTGTGTGCAACAATGCAATGCTTTACTAGGCTCAACATCAGGCAAACCTAGAAGCTGCTTTGTATTTTTTACACTATTTGGCGTATACTGCGGCGTTCTCATCTTTCGGGCGTATCGCACATATTCCTCTAAGCCAGAAGCAGACGGGGCGAAGATAACAGAAGAAGTTACTTCTGGGGCTAAAGCGGAAGATCTGGACATAGGACCAGGTCCCAGTCTTGTGAATGAGTTTGTGGAGCGAGCGAAACCGATTCTGCTGCAGCCCGTTGAGTTTTCCAGTACTGACATGAGGTGAGCGGTGTATATTTAAACACTGGACGACCACATCAACACATTCAGTCTCTTTCATTCATAGATGGCGCTATAGCAACCACTTGGAGGAACCTGAATTAAAATCAGATTGTGATAGTGAAAACGGAGTAACCGAGAAAGATAACAGTGATGACCTCGAACAGATGAGCAATCTTGTAAATGATGAACACGAGTCGGATGAATCCAGATCGATAGCAACGCCTCAGACGCATGACGATAACGCGGATGGTGAACACGTCGAACCCACACCGTTTTCGGTGTGATTCACAATGCAATTTTAGCAAAATTGTCGTGTGATTGACTTGAAATAAATCATCTTTTAAAACCCTTTCAAAACGTACCAAATTTACTGTCCTGACCGGTCTTGACGACTTGGTTGAATGGCAAGATTTTGACGCCCTCCTTGAAGCCAGTGGTTTCCGTCTTTTGCAGCTGATCCTCGATATAGATAATGGTCTTCACCAGTGGGCACTTGTCCAGCAGCGTCTTAAATTTGGGCAGCAGATCATGGGAGGTGATAACCGTGGTGACTTCCGTTTCTGTGATGCCTGGCAACAGTTTAAAATATTACTTTAAAATCGTACACATGGTCAACAAATGTACTCACAATGAGCAACTCCATCATCGCCCAGTGTAGCATAGACGGTGACAATGGGCATAGCCTGCTTGAAGCATCCGTGGGCAGCGATCATCCACTCGGCTCGCGTTTCGGCAAAGATGACAATGTTCTCGCGTGGTTTCTGGCCAAGTTCCCGCAGACCGCGCCCGAAATTAGCCGCCATGCGCTCCGCCTCGGTGAACGTCTTCCACTTGTAGTCACCCAGATTGTACTTCTTGAAGACTCGTCCGTTTTGTTGCACCTCATCCTCCTCGCTGAGGATCTGCCGGGTGCCCAGACAACGCTTCGACGTGTACGTTTTGGCCACATAGTTGAATACCTTCTCCAGGGTGTCGATGTTTTCCTGCAACATCTTCACGTGGACATCGCGTGGCGGGTCCGTGGTCCGGTAGGTCAGCTCATTGTCATCGTTCCGCACGATCTTTGCCTGGAAAATGAGCAAAATCGTGGCGATTAGTTTAACATTGTATAAGAGATTGCGATTTAAAAAGAAACGCCCAATTAGGGGAGGTACCACAAAGTAGAATCGACAGAGAGATAACGGACATGTGAGTTTTTTCGAGGGTTTGTTGAGGTGAGGGCCATAACTCAGGAGATCATGTTTCTTTGACCAACACCAAAAAGAGTCTCCAAACAGGGGATTCAACTCTGGGCACGATCACCAGTCCCTGGAACATTCATTGTGCGTGTGTGGTGTTTTGTATGGGGGTGCCCCAATGTGTGTGTGTGTTTGTATGTGTGTTCGTGTAATGTGTGTATGTTCCATAACAGATAGTATTATTAAATAATTAAAAACACATTTGCAAAAGTTAAACCTCTATGTCATCCGGCGCGTACTTGGACTCATCGACCAACATTTTCTGGTTAATGGGCTTGGCCTGTAGAGGAAGGAGGAGTTGAGATATGCGATGAGAAGCTAGTTAGCCGTGAAATTGCCTAGAGGTGCTGATCCCTAATGAAGGCATTCAACTTATTTTACTTATTTTTCTAAAGATTATAGCAAGTTGCACGACCATTTTTGATGCCTTAGTAACGCATAAGCCTTATCAGCCGACTGAAAAGGCCAACCAAAATGCGTTCCATTTAGATAGTGAGAAATAAGATAAAAGTGTACCTCAGGTGGGGCGCCCCTAACCAAAGCGAGTTATAGCTGGATTTGTAAAATATTTATATTTCAGTTCCCTGTAGGCAGCCAGAATTTTTGTGTTGAGTTGGTTCCTTTATTTATTTGCCAATTTTATTGTTAAGCAGCGCTTATCGTGATATTTGTTCTTGAATTTGAAATCATTTCAGTTTCGAAAAGAGACTGTGAGCAACGCAATGATCCAGCTCAGCAACGAAGTCGAACAATTCCTCCATGCACGTCTCAGTTGTTTTGGACTTGCCATTCACGCGATCATTGCACTCTTGATACTTGTTGTACAGAGATTGGATGTGATCTTTGGCCTGGCACTTCTCCCTAAGGGCTTCTTGCGGATCAACTAACTCCTGATCGTTGTCATCGGCCTTGACGACAGGCACCAAAAACCAGCTCTTAAACGCCATGGCTAAGGCTTCCAGGAGATATGACTAATTTATTTTGCAGGGTATTATCAGCTTACTCTCACTTCGAAATGTTTTTTATTTTTGGGCTGAGAGCAAAGAATTTCTCACTTGCAAAGCTTACTATTTCCATTTCAAAAACAGGTAGACATATCCTATGGTTTCTTAGCCCACAACAAGTCCTGCTGCATGGTTCTGTCTTTATGGCCTGACAACCATGATTGGATGTCCTCGCACTCGCGGAATAATAAAGCGAAATGAAGGAAAGGAAATCGGAAAAGCTAATTGTCGCATAAATTGCGAACCCCTGATAAAGGCGTAAAGATAGTGGAAGTAGTGGACCTGGTCAATAAATCAACAGTCGTCATCGTCGATTAGACAATGAAATGAACATAAAGAAATCACTTGGCAATAACAAGCCTTAAAGTGAGGAAAATTAAATGCGGAAAAGAACTAAATGAAACTGATAACCAAGGGTGCACTTTTTTTAATAAATAAGTATGAAACTAAAGCAACTTGTTTGTAGCTAGGTAGACAAGCCTCTGTACTTTGGAACGTCCAGTTCAAAGTCGAAAGTATTTCAACTATTCGATTCTCGAGATAGTTACACCCGTCGCACTGATTGGCCGGGCAAGTCTGTGGCTTTTTCCATCAGTTTCAACTAGCCAGGTGTATCCGGAATCCTGTTAAAGCACTTACCTTAACTCGACGCGAGTCCTGGCGGCGTTTCCAGGGCTGTTGCAGCACCAAGTAAACCGGAAGGGTGATGATGTCGTACATGAAGGCGATCGCCTTGATCGCGCCAAGAGCGCTTTGCACCCAGAAGCTGTCCATTCTGAAAGGGCAATGAAAAAGTCAAATTAGTGGCCAATTGGTATGCAAATTTCAGCGGGGAAGAACTATTGGTTTCACCGCCTCGTAAAGTATTCGCCCGGTTGGCTCTTCCAACGACTGTCCCACTGCACCCACCCACTCGTTGTAGCGCCGTCGCAAGCCGAAAACCAACTGATATGACCACCTGCCGCTGCTGCCACTGTTAGTTAGAAGGTCTTGAAAGTCCGTAGGTGGAAAGGGGTAGACACTCTCACGCTCACTTCGGTTCTCGGCGCTCAGAAAACGCTTTTCAAACGGGCGATAACCGGTGGAGAGCTCTGAAGGTGCTCGGTTTTTTATCAGCTAGAGATTGCTTAGCCCTAAAGCGCCGAAGTCCGAGTCGCCAGTAATCATCACTCTTAAGGGGCCCCGAACTCGACTATTGAAATAAACTGAAACTTAAGTGTAAGTCTGGTACTCGTCTGGACCCTTTTATACGTCCGGCATCTTATCTGCCATCTAAAATCAATCTAGTTGGCTTGCCAAGTCCTTCATAAAACGTGTCAAAAATCATGAGTATTTGCAATATATCATTAATCGTGGAGCAATCTTTATGACCCAAATACTTTTCAAAATTATGACACAATTTGGGGGAGTACTTCCTAATTCACCCATACTCATTTGCTAATAGGGTATTTTCTTAACGTTCTTATCATTAGTTTATTTTGTACTTATCGACAACCTTTTTCTTACTTTCTTTGCAATACCATTAAGACCGCAGCCATTTTAAGCGTTCTTATCACGTTATTTATAATTAAAATTAGACAAAAAACTCATGCCAACAATTTTAAAATTTTGATTTATAAATATAAATCTGAACGACTGTCACCCAGAATACTAGATAAACTTATTATCGCAATGCCTAATTAATTAAAATAGCACGGGGATCTAATTTAAAACACTGTAAAGCATTCTACCAAGAATTTTGCTTCTGATTACTTATTATTGCTCGTCGGCGGATTAAATAGAAAATCAGTTATTAGCATACGACCAAGATAGAAGCTAGTTGAATAGGAAACGAGTCATGCTAAGTCTCGCAATTCTTCATAAATATGTATATATTTGTAATTGAATATTATTTTCAGGTCGTGGTATAAGTGAGCGCGCTCATAATGTTGCTCTTTTTATAATTCCTAGTAAAAAGCGTAGTTGAAGACTGCACTCTTGATAAAGACATCGTGTATGAGTGCTAGCCTGATAAGCAAATCGAACTAAAGCCTTGAACTTGGATTGCGCAAAATGGTATGACGTCAATGTCCCGGGCCAAGGAGCTCAAAAGGAGCACTATGTCAAAATAAATTAAATAAACCACAAATAGAAAGTACACAAAAATTTAAATAATGAGAGGTGAAAAGACCAACTGCTTAAAGCTAGATTTCTTAATAATATAATTTAGCGACTCATAAGAATCCACAACCACAAGCTTACACTGAGTGATGTACTTATGAAACACACAGAAAACGGGCTCGAAACCAGAAGCTCTTATATAATAAAAGTCTTTACTCACTGCGCATCGTCTTCGATGAACATCTTGCTGCCTGTTCCTTACTTGTCCGATCTATGAATTGAATGAGTGTCTTTTGATCGGTAGTGGAAATGGTGGGTGAGGCGTATCCTCCAAAAGAGCCTAGCTCTGATTAATGGCAAGAACAAACAAACAATGCACGCAACAATAACAGGATGATGTCAGGTGTTCCTCTCCAGATGGATGTTCAGCTTGTAGTTTCACCTGCAACCAATAAAAGAACAAATATATGCATTTATGTAGTGCTAATGAGGTAGGACGACAAAATGGGAAGAGACAGCAGGCGAGGAAATCATGAAAATCTGCATTGCTGCATTAAACCGATACCAAAGTGTGTGATGACATAATAACAAAGCACCTTTGAGCACACGGAAAAGAACATAATTGTATAGGCTGCTATCTAGCGTAGTTTATATCTTAGTACAGAAAGTAATTTCCCAATTGCATTCTTAAAATAGGTTATAATAATCAAATCGAGCGTAAATATATATTTTTTCCAATTAGCCAACTGTGCGGCCTTCGTAAATATTTTAATCAAATCAGCACCTGAAGTCCAAACAAGTTGTTGTTACGCTTTCGGCATTTCTGGATTCTTGCCAGCAGCAAATCGAAATGCTGATAAAAAGAACATAAAGAACGATTCAAGATAGGATCTACAGAGAAATGGAGATACGTATAGAGGAAAATTTAAAATTAGGCAGCCAGTTTAAAAAAGCAAGAGAGCGATTGCGTAATCAGATTCTCAGCCCCTCAAATTCACTCTCTCTTTCATTGCGCCCATTAGTTAGGCGGAGAAACATTGGCATAGGTCGGGGACATCAATAGAAACTATACAAATTCTTTGGCATTCATTTACACAACTTACAAAAAAACGCCTTTGCGCTGTTTCTGCTTTGTGTTTATAAACAATACTTGAAGGCAAGGGCCAAAGTCCAACTCTCCAAGGTTTATCCGCTATGAAAGCCGATACCAAATGGATTCCTTAGAATATACCGTCCCTGATAAGCGACAAAGCATTCTACTCCACGCCGGCAAAGTTCGCGTATTATGCAACCGCTCAAAACTCGCACATCACATGACATGCGTGACATGAGTGATACAAAAAGGGTATGCGAAGTCGTAACTCGGTTTCAAGCTGCTCCGACGGAGTGCATTGAACCGGCCCCAAAATACAGATCGTCTGCCTGCGTATCCCTCGAACCCCTGACACATGGTTAAGATACGGAGCAGAAGAGTCGAAACCGTAAGCGTTGTGAATACGTGTTTTGTTTGCGAAGAAAGACAATATGAAAACATGACGAAGACTGCGAAAACAACAACGCTTTTCGGCATTTAAACACAGTATACACAGATATGCGAAAGAAACAGACGCTATGCAAAACTCTGGCACTGTGGGCTAGAAAGTTGGCTTAGAGAGTGGAAATTTGGTTATTTTCAGCACACTTTCCCTAAGGACATTCTGCAAAGTTTCCGTCAAACATATAATTACATTTTATTATGAAGATGGTCTTTGTTATTCTACGCATTTAATGTAAAAAACAAAATTAGAATCACACTTGCCTCGCTGCTTTTAGACATACAAACTCAAAATAAAAACAAAACACTAAAAACAGCTGCAGAATTTTAAGCTAAACTCAACCAGAGCTCAAAATTGTATTCTTTTGCATACCACTGTGCCAAGTTCAAGTCGTTTAAGCTACGTGGACATGGGCGAAAGTTGTTAAACTGCTTTGTAGGTTAATGAATGAAAATGAAATGAAAATAAAATATCAAATCGTTTATCTTTACATATCCGCGGGTCAGTTGCAGTCACTCTGCTGTTTAGCCCCGGGGTCAAAGTTCGAGCTCTAAGTACACAAAAAGATACTTATGTGTGGAACAATATTGCAGAGAATGGCGTGTTGGAAGCAAAGGTTATGCCGAGTGTCTAACAAAGCAATCATGGTCCGCTTGAAAACAATAAGGAAATTGTGCACATTAAGCCTGTGATTACTGTAATCCGAACTTTGGACCGCCCCTCTGGTCGGCAGTGTGCGATGTCGCACATGTGAAAAGATTATGGTGAATGTGCCTAAATAAGCACTGTACTGAGAACTGATTGAATCAGACCCGATTCGTATATCTTGTGGGTTAAAGCACACTCCCGGCGTATGCGTATTGTTACAACGAACACGTTAACCGGTACACAAGGTCAACAGCCAAAAAAAACGACTTTCTGAAAGCAACAAAACATTGCAATTAAAACTTAATTTGGAACCACACATCCAAATTTAAGCATTGTTTAAATGCTTTTTTAATGGCAGTATTGTCAGGAAATTGTTATAATGCAATTGAACGATCGAATAAGGCTATACTTAAAATTTGTCCTGGTAACAACGGAATCTGACCATAAACACACAGTAATTAAGAATACTATGGTTCGATAGGGGAAATTTATTGATTAGCCTCACGGCTAAGATAAAATGCACGTTTGAAAATATGATTTTCAGATAGGAATTTTGCACAAACTGATTTTCGGAGATCGCGTGGCACCAAGTACCCCAATTCTAGTTAATCAACAGGCAAAATGCAATCTGCATTCGGCAGATTGCACACTACGAGCTGCTTCTCATTTCAGAGTGAAACTCACTTAATTGCCTACATTAAGACAAAGGCACAAACCTTGTATTAATTACAGCTGAACGGAGGTACTTGTAACTGGTGCTGTTTCCGTTTTCGTATTGATTGCTATTATTATTTGCGCTCATTGCACGACAGACTGCAAGCGGCTGAAATGCATTGGCAAACGAACACGTCGTGCTTGATTTAATCAGAAAATACACCTGAAACCGCCACGAAAGTAGAGAGTACAAAGTGGAGCTTGAAACGCCGTTTTACAGACTGTCATTTGTATTTTGCTGACGCCACTGCAACTGCCACTTCACAAATCGGAAACTCACACTAAGTGAGCTGCCAAAGTCCAAGATCGCTTTTAGCTCCAAGCGCAGACATTACGAAATTGCCAAACAATGCCAAAATGCGAGTGCAAAGCGTTCTGCGCCAATTGTATGGAATAAACAACAAAGAGAAAACTGTAACTCACTGGAACACGTCACCAGAAATGCCTCAGACAACAACGTGTCCCCACATATCTACGTGGACTTCAGTTGCCTGTTTCGCACAAGACTCGGCATACCAAAAATCAAAGAGTGACTAACTCTTTCACTTGCTGCTTGGCCACCTGCGTGCTCGATTCCGCGTCGATCAGCTGCGATATTGTTTACGATTGGAAACGTACCTACAGCGCTTGCATAAATGCCACTTGAACTTTGGTCAAGGTGTCGCTTATGTCGTTTATGGAAAATGGAAACGGGAACTACCGACTGCCTTGACATTGCAACGGGCGGGCGGTGGCGTGAAGTGAGTGTGTGAGAACACGACATTATTCGGACCGCCGCGAGTGCGCACCGTGCAAAATGTGAATTAAATTGCAACATTTGATTCACTTATTTCCAGGCGGGCGAGGCGGCGTTACGTGAGTGTCTGCCATGCCGCCGACTGCTTCGCTCCCTCGAGCGGCGGCTCTCTGGCGAATAATGGGGTAACAAAATCATCGTATGACTGTGTCAAAGTCCGAAATAAAAATACTTTTTGCAGTCGCAGTACACACATAAAAACGAGAAGAATTGCTCAAACGAGATTGAAATAAAGAAAACAACAGTTGTGCACAGAGCGAAATAACACTTGTTCGGTGGCTTGTTTTAGAGATTTGAAGGGGGAGCACACAAAACCTGTTGTTTTACGAAATAAACGGCGTATATAAATAAATCTTTATCTGGATATTGCCAGGGCAATAGCTATTTATTATTTTGATTACCTGAGTAGTCTCTCTCCATTCGGATGGTCCCAGAACAAGTTCTAGCCAAATTTGTTTCAAGTTGATCGTATCGAATAAGATTATATTCTATACCCCTATATGTACTTAAGACCTCTATACTTCGTGTAAAGCCGTGTTGAAAAATAGTCCATAATATTCCATAAATTTAAATTGAAATTTAAACATACAATCCATGTGGCAACTATTCGAAAATGTTTCCGGTGTGACCTCAACAGCGCCAGCAAGTGAGAACTTTTGCACGGGGCGTTGAATATTTCACTGAATGAAAACGAGCCAGGCAAATAAGAGCAAGCACGGCAAACAAACAAACAAACGAGTGACCGTGTGTGTGTGGGCGTGTTTTGGAGGCGAACTGAAAATAATTTGATTACCGCCGGCGGAGAAAGAGAGAAAGGAGAGCGCTACACCCACACGGCTGCGGAGAAGAAAGATCGGCGCACTCTCTTTTGCACTCGCTCATCTCGCATGAACACTCGAGATATTCACGTACATACATATGTATGTATGTAAATGGGAGTGTGCGAAAGTAGCGCTAAAATAAATGACCTAGACAAGCGAGTACTTATCTGTAGAGTGACCATCACCGCCGAGCACGTGCTCCAGTGAAATTTTCCAGGGAAATACAGACTTGGCAATGATCGCGAGAGGTGGGGGAAGTTGCGAAGCCAAGCGGCCGGTTTAATCGAAGCGGTACTGCGTGAAAACCGGTTAGAAAATCCACCAAAGTCATGACTAAAACAAACACAAATAAGGCTCATACGATCCAGGGGCTTAGATCAAAGGGGGCTTAAATACCTGGCGAGACGTTGAACGGTGTATAACTCCGCGTGGTAAAAGCCACTGCCCATAAAATTGAAATACAAACAACTTTTTTTCTAAACCAGCCGCTTGCCAATCATAGAGCACTTGCAACCGCAACAAGGTAGTTGGTATGCCAACTAGAAATAGAACCGGGAACCAAAGCCACGCTTTGGAGAGATGAAGCTCTCAGGAAAATGTATTAATCTATATAGTTTATATAATAAATCATAGTGGCTTGTGTATTTCTTTTATTTAAAAATAGGACTCAATGCTTTATTTTAAATTCAATGCAGAACCCTGCAACTTGGTAATTGTAAAAACTTCAGGATATTCCACCTTTATTGGTATTAAATAAATTAAAATAATAGAACACTAAGTTTTCGCGCAGTGCTACTTTTAACTTGAAATAAATCGGAAATTAGAACTCATTCCCAACATAATTCGCCGAACTTCAATTTGCATTTACGAAAAGAACAAAGCTATACATTTTTGAAGGGATGTAGCGCAATCTGCAGCTGTTGCACAGAGGCCGATTACAGATTACACATTGTCATTACAACCCGAATTCGAATCCGAATTCCAGGGGTGGCTGCGGGTAGGCGATGGGCGGAGCGTGGGTCAGACATCAGTCCCCAGACATCGCGTGACTATTTTTGACTTTGCGCCAGGAGAGACAACGAGGGAAGGGAAAATGAAAAGCAGCCCCTGCAGCTGCACTGCACACAATTTAGGATTATTACAAATTGAACAATACCGATTTTAAATACTATCCATTTAAACATCAACCTTTTATACAAACGCTGAAATTATATTTTTTTTAAATATATTTATCAATGCGTAATTTGGAGATATTACTAGATAACTTCTTTACAATATATTTTCAGACATTATATGCCACATTTTGGATGTAAATCAATAGTAGAAGTAGTAGTCTTTATAGATCACTTTTTTCCGTGTAGCATTGGGAAAAGTCACGAGGCGATGGGCGAAAGGGAGGGGTGAGTGCTATGGGGTGGTTGGCTGGCAAGAAGCAAGCTCTGTGGCACGTTTTTCATTTGATATACCAGCTGAAAATCGTATGAGTTTCAGGGGAAATTGTGCCGCTGTGGAGCTTAAAACAAAGTACAAGAACAATGCGGCGAAAAGAGCGAGATTGAGAGAGCCGGTTGCATGCAAGTGAGTGTGAGCGCGAGTGTACTGTACTGCACTGTGGGCCTACGGCGAAGAGCGAAGGAGAGAGGTGCAAAGTGTAAAAGGTCAAAGAGCAAATTGTTTACATGGAGCAACCGCAAGTGAGAGACGGGCGGAAAACTGGGCGGCATGACCATGAATGAAAGCCGCGACCGGCAAACGTGGCCCGCCCACGAGGCGAGCATTTTCAGTGTGGGGAACACTGGGCGTTTAACCACCCAGCAGACTTTTCTTATTTGGAAGTTTTGATGCTCCTGAATTCCAATGCGGTATTTAATGAAGAATCTTTTACAGGAATAACTGTCTGAACATTTTGTAAAGTTCACCAGATAATGATTTCAGTTACAAAGCGTTTAAGTAACTTTTGAACAGATTTATCACCACTTAAAGCTTTATTTCCTAGCTGCATATTTATGAAGGGGTTTTAATAATCAATGTCTCGATTGTTGACTTTCTCTATTCAAAAGCCGTGTAAGTCTGACCTCTTGAACAGCTCTCGAATTCGGACAGATTTTATTAAGACCCATTATCAATTAATAGTCTGGGTCCTCTACAAGTTTGATACAAAATAGCTCTTTATCAAGTAGATTTGCAATTGTGTAAGCTCAATAAACAAAACTTCAATGCCACTTGAGTTAAAAGCACTATCCGATTTAACATTTACATTTACATTTAATATGACTTTTGTAAATATGACTTTTTGTAGGGTATTTTTTAAAAGGGTATTAAAGGACCAAGTTTACTGGGTGTAACATTTACGTTGTACGGCTCCATTTTTCTTTTGGGTAGACCATACCCATACCCGGGTGTAACACATCAAGAGGCTTATCGCAGATCTATATGGTCCTTATATGGTCTTATGGTCCTTAGCGCTGCTCAGGTTGCCCGCACCTAGAGAATAACTACATAGCGGCGATGTAAGCGATATTCCGATTATTAAGTGCTTCCACCTCGGATGTCTGAACCGTGTTTCCGGCACAAAAGTGGAAACCGCGCCCTAGAAACAAAAGCGTGGCACGAAAAGTGCACCAACCCAGTCAGCCACCCACTCCACCCACTCCAACAACCCACCACCCACCGCTCAGCTGGTCGCGAGGTATTGAAAACAGATGATACACGTCGCACACACGCCCACACTCACACACGGGCACTCCAGATAAAACTCGCATGATTTTCAGTTGGTATAACAAGCCGAGACAAAGAGAGCGCCACTCTCTCGTAAGAGCGAGAATGCGCAGAACGCGTTACAAGAAATTACACGTGCAAGGTAGGGGAAAAGCAGCGAGAGAGCGCAAAGAGAGATTTGTTTATGTGCGTAGGTCTCCATTGGAATGGGACCCTTCTCGCCGCATCTAATTACAATTTAAACTGCCTTGGGAAGGAATGCAATTAACAGGTTAAAAATAACGGTAAGGCAGTCGTGAACTACAGTGGAACTTTTAAGAGCCAACGACTTTGCTGAGCTAACAAAGACGATGTAATACAACTTTTGATTTTGTTAAATTAAATTAGATTTAAAACCCTAAATTGACCACTTTAATGACTTTAAGCAGAATCTTTCTGAAGGTCGTAATAAAAGGTAATGCGCTTTAAAATCACTCATAAAAACGGGTGCTTTCATTTACTGCTCTTATTGCTCTAATATAACGAATTCAAACTACATAGTATGCAAAGCAAACATTGAAAAGTAATACCATGGTCATGATAATAACTGTTTGTTGATCTTTTCTGTTTGTTCTTAAGTTTTTATGTTCGACAGTCCACGCTCGATAAGAAGAATGACTAATCCCCACAAAAGGCGCGTCATTTCAGTGCTGGAGTCTAATCCGAAGTTATTTACGATTTGGAAACCACTCCATTAAATCCCATTGGTAGAGCTTCTTTGGGAAGCCCGACTGTACTCTAGTGGCGAAAGCCAAACAAATCAATAAACAAACAGCAAACAAAATACGTCTGGGTGCCAATGGCAACCAATTGCATAAGGAAAGTGCAGTTGCGCTTCCACGAACACTGTGGCACTCGAATTGGGTCAAGAGAGAGGACTGTTGATTCCTGGCCACGAAACCAGATTTATTGGGTAAATAGACAAGGTGGCGTGACATCCTAGTGAGAAAAGGAAGCCGGCGAAGGAGAAATGGGCTCCAGACTTACCTTTCTTATATAGGCTAGTTCCCAGTTCTGAGCGGCAGTTGCGGGAGTTTTGGAGGGCGCACACATGCAACGATTGTTAGAACAAAATACAGAAATCAGGCAGTGGATCGCAAAAGATCACAGATCGAAATAAATCACCGATTATATAAAATGACGTTTCGCCAATAAGAACACACGGACGCACACACACACACACACGCACATACGCGCGGTAACGCACACGTAATACCAGCATAAAATAAAATGTTGCGTTGGCTTCAACACGTTTATCCTCCTCTCAGCTATTTCCGTTCGTTCTCGGAGCTCTCGGATTTTTATTTTAGATAGTCAACGTTGCGCTTTAATTGATAAAACTTTCGCAAAACTTTCACAAAACTGCACATTTGCTCACTAGCGCACAAGAGCACTCACACAGACGCAGGCTGGGCAGCGTCGCACGTGTGCGAGTGTCGGTGTGTTTATCACGCCACTCGAAAAACACTTCTCTACTTACACACAATACACTCGTGAGTTGTATTTTTTAAACTGCGTTCAATGTTGTTTTTTAGTGATTTTTTGCTTTACTTTGTTTGGCGCCCGCTGAAGTGACGGGATGGCGCACAACGTTCTCAAATCACGTTAAGTTTGTTTCTGAACTTTTTCGCCGTTTCGCTTTTGCCACGAGATTATTTTCTTTCTCCTTCGCCGCGGCTCTCTGCTACTCTCTCTGGCTCTCTAGCTCACGCACACACTAGCGGCCGCTCGAATGCCGATGAAGACTCTCTCCTTCCTGTGTGTGTGTGTGTGTGTTGTTCTGGCGTTTGCATCAATCTCCTTGCTGACAATTGATTTTTTCCCATTACACCGAATGCATTTTCACTCATATCGTGCCACCCATGTTTGCTGAAATTCTAGAACGGCCTCTTTTCCACGGCTTGTGCAGAAATCTACTCACGCATCGAAAACTATTTAAAAATCGCAACAAGTGTTACCAGATGGTGGAGGAGCTGTAATCCATGTGTTCTCGACTGACCAAATCTCGAACTAAAAAATCCCATTTCGCGGTAAATTTAAATAGTCTTTAGCTTTTAAAAGTAAACTGGCTGAATATATCAATATAAAAATATGTGGAGAGGTATTGCAGTAGATGTACCAATCCCAGTACACGGTAAATGAAAATGTTTTTCATTCAAGAACGCTATGCGACTTTGCGTCTTTATTTTCTTATTACAAGATTGAACGATCTAAATTATTTGTAAAAGGTGTTGATTCTGTCTAAACGTAGAATCAAATGAATTTGAAATCAAATAGTGAAATAATAAAATAAAACAAATCGGGTGAATTTGGACATAATAAGATTTAGCTTATATGCACTGTTACGTGACACGTAATTTAAGCATAGCTTAATTAATTTAAGATCTAGCTTTTCGCACCGTGCAGAAAAGCTTATCCGAGACCTTAACCAAGGTGTTGATCTTAGCTAAATAAAAGTTATCTCCATGTATGGAGTTTATTAACCAGAGTTGTAAAATGCCAACATGTATTTGAAATACAATTTTTTGATCTTGAAAATTTTTGAAATTTTATTAAAATGTGTAACCTGTTTATTCGTATTAGACAAAAATCAGTGGACGAAATCAGAAAATGCCCTTGCTTCTGTTTTGTGACCATTGTATATAGATGAAAATCCCAACCTTTTCGAAAAACTGATCGATTTCGCTTTTAAAAAACTGTATAATATATATTTTTATTAAAAAAAAGACAGTCAGTCTTTGTGCAACAAATGTACATGGATAAATGCCGCGTTTACAATCGTTCCTCGCTTCGTTTTCCATTTTTTATGCTTATACTCCTGTTTTATTTTGGTTGTAAGTACGGTTAGGGGAGGAGGGATCTTTCTTGTAGTTGATTAAGTATTAGTTATTTATTTTTCTCGATTCTTTCGTTTCCGTTTAAGCGATACTATTTTGGTTCAAGTCCTTGTGTTTTATGTACATATTTAAACTAAATTACGAGCTACAATTACTAGTTTGTGTGTTTGTGTTTGTGTTTGTTTTGTGTGGGTGAATCTCGCGTTGAATTTATGTATGTAAGTACAGTGTGTGTGTTGCGTGTGGCGTGTGTTACAATAAATATCTCTAAGTTTAAGTATTCCTTAGGTGCTAGCATACATACATACAAAGCTGCTAGGCAGAGGGGCGGCGGGGCGGCGGGGCGTGGCGCGCAGGGTGTGCATTTCAGGGGAGGGGGCGGGGAAGGCAGCTGCTACAAATACCGGACTTCGGGAAATTAACTAACATGCATACACATATACATACGCACAGGTCTGTCTCGCTTTTCACTCTTCATGGATATCTGTAAGTCGACTTATGATTTTGTATACACTTCTGCTGAGCTTTTCAAAAATTTCAAATACAAAAATACAAATTACGAAATAGTTTGGCAATCACCATGCACTTTGAGCAGGTGCCTGCCCCACATCCATGAAGACGAAATCATCCACAAACCCGCTGGACAATCGATTACACAGATACAACTACACAAGTAGGGTTACGGCTTAGGCTAAGGTCTACGGATACGGCCTAATAGCTACAGGAACTAGTGCTAGTGCTAACTCGTAAAGTTGTAGCTGCGCACCGCCCTGCCGGGCATGGCCAGCTCCACCTTGATGTTGGCCGTGGCCGTCACCTTGGTGGTGTTGCTGTCCGAGTGCGTCGTCTCCACCGTCACCTCCGGCTGCACAACGATGCTCTGCAGCTCCGGCGGGTAGGCCGCCGGGAAGGGGGGCGGCGGCGTGAGGGGCGGGCCCTGGTGCTGGTGGTGCTGCTGGGCGGCGGCCTTGTGGTAGGCGGGGGGCGGAGCCGCATAGGGGGCGGGGCGCGGTTCGCGCGGCTGGTAGCTCCAATCGTTGGGCATCTGGATGGAGGAGTTGCTGGACTTCCAGGACTGCGGCTCCTCGGTGATCGTCGTCAGCGAAGGATCATTCAGGTCCTTGTGGTGGTGGTGATGCGACTTCTGGCAGCTGCCTCGCGAGGACCGCGAGCCCTGCACCACGTAGGATTTGCCCGATCTCTTGCTGCTTCGCACGGGCAGCGGAGAGGGCGTGGATATGCGGTCTGGATGCTCCAGCGGCACCAGTTCCGCCTCCGGTCCCACCATGCTCAGGAGGATGGGGAACACCAACAGGCTGTTGCAGGCGCCCACGCACAAGACAACCAGCAGAAGCCAGCAGAAGTGCCGGATCACAAACTCAAAGGGCGAGGTGGAGAGCATGAACACGGCCACTCCGGAGGTCAGCATTCCATGGACCAGCGGTCCCAGGGACATCTGCATGCTCAGCTGGACGCGGCGCTGTCGGTTGCCCACGGATGTCATGAAGCCCTAAATCGGGAAAGATAAGCGATTAATGTGTGGCGAAGAGGATCTCTATCTCTGGTTGGAAATGGAACAATGGAACATCCGCTGCCCCTAATGGTCCAGCCAAAAATGGGTACTCACCAGTGATATCAGCACGTTGAAGCACAGCATCATGCCCACGCTGAGGATGAGTATGACTGCCGGAATGGCCGACAGCTTGATGCCCAGCAGAGTCATGGCGCCGAAGATCTGGGCCAGCGAGGCCAGAACGCTGAGGATCACCAGAAGGGCGGCCCACACAGAGAGCAGGAGCAGGGAGACCAGTACCAGGGCGGCGAGGAGCACGCAGGCCAGGATCATGGCCAGTGAGGAGCGCAGGGTCATGTACTGCTCCCAGAAGATGAAGGGAATGCCTGGCGATAAATAATCTGAGTGTTAGCCGCGCTCCATGTATGCAGCACTACGTTGAGACTCACCCGATGGATAGTTGGGCAGGCCAAAGCCCTCGTACTTGACGCTCAGGTCGCGAATATGACCTATCAGGGTCTTGATCTGCGAGGTATCTGTTAGTCCGTGCAGGTAGAAGGGCATCTGAGCGTAGACCAATGGCAGACTCTTGGGTATCTTAAGATCGTACTCGTTGGGTTGGTGAAAATACTGGCGCGGTTCCGGATACAATTTGCCCTGTAAGAATGGAGATGCACATGCGTTATGGTAATCTTCAACAGAGGAATCCCTATTATTTTAGGAACTTAGGAACTTATAAGGAGACCCACCTGAGAGGCTCCGTAGGCGAAGACATCGTTGGTGGCCCATGCCGACAGATAGTTGTAGAAGGCGCGTTGGTTGATGATGCCATCGCTGTTGACCAGGCGGTTGGTCAGAACCAGCTCCTTGTCCACGGGGTTGTCCACATGGCCGGTTTGCACGATGAGCTTGTAGGCCAGGATGGCGTCGCTGCTGGCGTTGGGGAACCAGCACTCCTTGGTCAGCCGCCCGTCGCGGTACTCCTCGTCGAATATCTTCTGCAGATTACCCAGCCACTCGCTGAACAGCAGCAGCCAGAAGTCCGGCAGTCCGCCGTTGTCGTTCTTGATCACATGCGGCACCCGCACGAAGGAATCATGGTAATCCCGCAGCAACTGCTGCTGGGTGGGATACTCGAAATTGCCCTGGGTGACCGCGTACATGCTGTAGAAGCCGAAGAGTCGGGTTTGGGCATCCAGGAACTTGTGCTCGTTGCTGTCCTTGGGCACCAGGTCAATGATGTCCAGGCCATCCTGGAGGCGCGTGGAGGCATACAAGCTGGATATGAGGGCCGCCAGGAAACCCATGACGGTCAGGAACTTCACCCAGCTGCGCATGAGGAAGGGTGTGTAGTGCTGGAAGGCGAAGTTGGCCAAGGAGAAGGAGGCCAGGGAAGGACTGCTGCCAGGGCTGACTGCCCTCTGTTCCAGCAGAGGATTCTGGGCGGGCAGCGGCACCCGGTTGTTGTTACAGCTCTTCGGATGCCGGGCGCCACGTCCGTTGTTGTTGTTCAGCGGCAGCACCGGAGGAGCCACCTTCGGCTGTTCCTTCCACACCGGGAAACAGCAGCAGAAGATGTCCGCCCTGCCGGCGGTGCGCCTTCGCAGATCCAGCGAAATCATGGCCGGAAACACCAGCAGAGCCGCCGCCAAATTGGAGCACATCACGATGGCTGCCTGCAGGCAGAACACCTTCAGAGCCGGCACCGGAATAAAGGCGGCCGCAAAGAAGGATCCTGCCGTGCTGCAGGCACTGAACAGGATGCTCGGCCCCACTTTCTTGAGGATCAGCTTGGTCTGCTCCCGCCGATTGCTCTCCGCATAGGCAGCGGTCAGCATGAAGATGTGATCCACGCCCAGGCCCAGCGCCAAGAACGGAACCACCTGGGTGCTGGCGGCGTTGAAAACGATTCCAAGCAGGGCTGACAAGCCCAAGCCAGCGGCGGTACTGAAGCACATGAGCAGCACTCCGGCCACGCCCACGCTGCTCTGGCCACGGACGGGATCCCTCCAGCGGAGGAGCGTGCAGAAGGCATACAGAACGGTGACGGCCACGCCAATGACAATGGACAAGGCGCTGGGATGGGAAAACTTGGCCAGGATGTCGTCCAGGGCAGCCGAGCTGAACACGTAGATGTCGTAGTTGGTGGCGATTCTCGACTGCTTGCGCAGCAGCTGTTCCACCTCCCGGGAGAAGTTGCGCTGCCAGGCGTTCAGCACCTCCGCGGCCTTCTCCTGCGTCCAACCGAGGTGGTGCACCTTGTAGTTGTCCTGCCACTGGTCGTACATTTCCTTCTCGGTCATCAGCTGCACCACCGACTGCAGGGCCTGGGCCTTCCTCAGGTGACCGCTGCGGTTCCTCTTCGCTCCGCCCACAATCAGCTCCTCCGGCCAGTGCATGTGCTTCGCCGCATATCCGTAGCAGCCTCCGGACAGGATGGCTCCCACGTCCGGCGGCTGGGTGCTGTTCTTGTTCGGCGCCGTGTCCGGGCAGTTGGGATTCAGCGGGTTCAGGCAGGGCTTCTCCATGTAGCCGCTGCCAATGGCCGCCCGCTTCATGTACTGCTCCACGGTCTCGAAGTCGAAGCTGATCTTCTCCTCGGACATCTTCTGCTTCATGTACTGCATCACAGAGGCGGGGTTCAGCGTGGTCCACAGGAGTCGTTGGTTGAGGCCTCTGTGGAGTGGGTAGCATGATGCGGAAAGTAATGGATTAGTTGCGTTAGGGTCAATTCCTAAATATGAACAAAGGAGCACTGTTCGTGGAAGAAAGGAGCACCCACAAACCGCCAAGGTTGTAGCTATCGACTACTTACGGTATGACGACCGCCGATTCCGGGCCCAGAAGCTGGCTTCCCTCCCAGAAACAGTCCAGCGGCGTGATGATCGAGCACGGGATGAGGTGGCGCAGGATCTGCTCGATGTAGTAGATGCCCTCGAAGGAGGGCGTGCTCGGCATGTTGCACATGTCGCGCAGCCCCCACTCGGTGTCGTAGAGGTGCACCTTGACGGCGGTGGCCTTGACCAGGACCTCCAGGTGGGCCAGCAGCGCCTGCGGATGCAGGACGGAGGCGTTCGGGTCGTGGGTCGTCTGGATGAGCAGCTGGTGCGTGGCCGACTCGTCCTCGCCGATCGTCTTCTGCGTGTAGGCCAGCTCCGCCTCCAGCCGGCCGCCCTCCTGGATCCACAGCTGGTGCACCTTGGAGTGTATCTGGGCGCTCTTCAGGCCGACGCAGAAGGTGCTCAGCACCAGGATCGCCACGAACAGCACCTTGCCCGCGTGCTTCTGCACGGAGCTGCCGAGGGTTTCGAGGTGGGACTGGAATACTGATCGCAGATAGATCGCCGTGCGGCTGCCACGCGCCTTGCCCTGCAAAATACGGAGCACGGAATACGGACTTTAGCATTTAGTTGTGGCTTTATTTTAGACCTACTCCCCCACTCCCACTCCCCGCTGCCATAAATAACGCATTAAAATTATAACGAAACAGCGTGTGGCCATATAATTTATGTGCCCTGCTCCCAACGAAGTCCATCCACACATGGGTGTGGCATGAAAATGTTGCTCTGGGCCGATGTTTAAATATGAAGAGCAATTTGGGGACAGCCAGCTTCTGCTACTAAACTTAATTAAGCTATAAACAGTTTGCCCACTGCCCTCTGGTTTCTTAAAACTATGCCATGTCGTGTCCGTGAATTCCTTGCGTGCCAACCCCTCCCCACGCCCATGCCACCGGACCCCACCCAAAGCCCCCACTCCAGATCCCAGATCCCAGATCCCGAATCCAAGCCGCGGAACCACAAAAACAACACAGACGCCGCTGTCGTCATTGGCGGGCTGAAAAAAGGCGAACCTATAATCGCCTGCTTGGCAATTGGATCGATCGCTGCTCAGGCTTTAGGCCTGGCTCGAACTGGGCTCCACTCCGCTGCGAGTCGAATTTCGTGCTGCTGCTCCATTCTTCAGCTGCTGCAGCGTTGCACGGAAACTTAGCCCCTGCCCCTTTCCAAAAAAAGAAAAATAAAAGAAGCATGAAAAAAATAATAATGAGGCTCGCGCTAACGCTAACGTCTCAATCGAAGTTTTAGCCCAACAATCAGAGAAACAGTGGTGCCAGCGAATGTTACACGGAACTGTTGGCATTACAAAGATCAAATTCTGAGCCTTAAAGTCTCAACTAAAGTGCCATTCATTGTGCTGCTGCCTCTTACTACGATAACTAGTAGTCTCAATGAGGCACCTTGAAAATATTTACTATATTTACAATATTTTTACCAACATAAATTCCTGAAATCCCTGGAGCCCACTGTGCAGCAACTGAGGCACACCCAGCCAAGTCGGGCATCGGGCCTCCAATAACGCATTCCGCACAGACCCAAACTCGAATCTTCTCGAAGTTGGGCTCCTCGTTCTGGCGTCTCTTCGCTGCGGCCGCCCTTTATCGCTTTTCCCAGATTTTTCCCGGGCCAAGTCAGGTTGTGGCCATCGTGGCAGCACACAGAAATGGCTTTATTGTTGGGTCGCTCAGCCGAGCGTTTTACGACTACCGTTAAGATACATGCATACAAACGTGCACATATGAACCCCGTCCAAGGGGTTTCCGTGCTGAGGATCCGGGAGGATCCTGCACTTCCTGCCGCTTGTTTATGCAACCCAGTTAGCGGTACGCATGGATATTCAGGCACTTCCGCAACGCCAGGAAAATGAACATCAAACGCGGCGCGCTCAACTTTGTCGCCATTAATTAAGTCGTTGGCGGCACATCCACTTTGAGACTGCCTGCGGCGACCTGTTCGTGGAATTTTTCCATAATTTTCCCGTCCGAGGTGCGCAAACAAAAGATGCACACGATTCTAGGAATCGCCGGCCGCAAAAATAGCACTGCTGCCGCTGCATGGGCCCCTTGGGGCGGCCCATAAATATAAAAATAAAGTTAATCTAGATTTGGCCGGCATTCCGCCTCCAGTGGCTCGCAAACTGTGTGGCTCAAAATTGAGCCATCAACGCTTGTCAGCAGCCGTCTCTTTCGCTCCGCTCGAGCCCTCTCTTTCGAGGCCTTCGCAAAACTGCTGCTCGAGCTGTGTGACATATCATCAATCTTGGGCTGCTTGTGCCTTGCGTGCCACTTTTCCCTGCTCTCTTCCCTCGGACTCAGATTCAGATTCAGATGCGGATTCGGACTCGGACTCGGATTCAGTTTTGCCCACCCCCGCAGCTCTGGCTCGCTGTGAGGAAATGTCACGCATTGATTTATGATCCTGCCCGGGGTTTCCTATGCTGCATTTTCAAATGAAAATGCCAGCTCTTTGTTGCTGCTGTTCAGCGACAGCTTCATTAGAAATGCGCACACACAGCCGTCGGAGGTTCTCCAGCCTCCCTAATCCGTTGCCCAGGAACCGAGGATTGAAGACGGGCTCAAAGCCCGGTCCCACGACGAATGGGATGGCCGAAAAAGACGAAAACAGTTGGGAGCAGCAGGTGCAGGTAGAGCGGGAATGTCGGGCACAAATGTATCTCAAGTACACGGAGAAAAATCCACGTCTCAACTTATCTTAGATGATCAAATCAGGAAGGATTATACCAGAACTTGAAAAGAAATGGCGATATCTTTACTTGGGCTTATATTATATTTCTAATTCGAGCCGTGCCCATGTCTGAAATCTGTGTGTTTGAAGTTCTCCGTGCCGTTCTGTAAACAACCTCGAAATCTCCGCATCACGCATCACGCATCAATCAATCAAAAGACCCGACACATCAACTGGCGCGGCAAAGGCAAAAATCGAATTTCCTGCGGCCCCCCAGAGCGCCCGACTACTTAATTACACGGACCGCTTCGGGAAGCACTATAAATTTGAAAAGTATATAAAAACTTTTCCATGCCATTTGGAAATCTGAAAAGCACTTGAGTGCGGCTCGTACACGAGTATGGTGCGTTGGGCCATAAAATATGAGCGCACCCAGTTGTGCCGCAATAAAAATCGAATGCAAAACCACAAAAAACCGCATTTTTAGCATAAAATGAAATTCAATATGGCAGACCACCCAGACGAATCGAATATGAATAGGGCATCTATGGAATTGTGTATATGGATATGCGGACAGGCGTTTCCATTGCGGGCCGAATTTATGGATTGTGCGAGAGCGTGAATCACTTGCGGGGAATCTTTTGAGATCTTTTGGGATCTTTTGGGATCTTTTGAGATCTCTTGATTCCAACTCAAGGGATTACTGATGACTGCTCCATATACGGCATCTCCGATCCGGTGGGTCGTCGCAGCTTTCCCATGTTTCTCACGTAAGCGTGTGCCATAAAACTTGTAGCTACCATAAAAGTTATATGCCGCTTGATAACGTTTGTGAATACGAAATCCACTGCAGTGCCACATCCGATCTTGCGTGTATCTCATGGTATCTGCTCCGTTTAAATGGAGGAGTGTTTTGTATATTCACATGCCATTCTCACAGCTGCGGAGGCTGTCAAACGAAATAGCTGTGGAAATGGATATAGTGCGTCACGGATGGGTCTATTTATTGTTTATTTTTAGCACGGATATGGTATTTGTTACTACATTTAGCGCTTCGCACAAATTATCCCGTCCGCTGGGCGCCATAAAGGACCACACACGGAACGCGTTGGACAGCAGAAGTAAATTGATTTCGAGGCAATTAAAAATGAGGCCCAAACGAATGCGAAACCGTTGAATGCAAATGCCCTGTTGCCGCCAATTTATGGCGCCCCCAAAACGTGACTAGCAAGCCGTCTGCTGCATTTACTACCATTTTATGCTCTTTACTTTTGCAACGAGCGCGCCGAAAATACATACATACATATTTGCATGCCCGTAAAGCGAAATCGTTAAAAAAGATTTGAAGGTCACGGTGCGGCTCAGGTGAGCGGCCATGCAGACGGTTTACAGTTAACTCCAGAAGCGCCAGGTGCAAAACACAAGGGGACCACCGGCCTGGATACCCTGGACACCCGGTTATTTTCCCTCTCTGGGGGCAGACTGTCAAGAAAGTTTTGTAATCACTTCGATTTCAACTGAAGCACAGTTCACCTGCCCTGCGCTCTGCGCAGGCCGTAACAATTTTAATTTCTTTATTATTTCGTCTGAAAATCGAAAACGCAGCCTACCTGGCCGCCGGCCTCACAGGTACACACGCACTCCACTCCACTCCCGATCCCGATCCCGATCCATGCCGCTCGCCATCGTATCGTATCGTATCGTATCGAGTTTGTGTGTCCGTTCAGCGGAGTTTTGTCCGTCCGTCCGCCTGTCCGTCCGTTAACTGCTTTTTCAGTGAATTCCGTGATTATTGCTTGAATGTTTCTTTCCGGTATTCGCTCTCTGTCACTGTGTCTGCAGTATACCTTTTCTGGCGCGGCTCTAGGTCTTGATCGCAAGTAAGCCCCTCTCTGGGGTTTCGAGTTTTTGGGCCTGCGTATAGGTATGGGTACGGGTGTGGGTATGGGTGTGGGTATGGCTATATGGGTACGGGTACGACAGCGTGCTGTGTGGTCGAGTTAATGTCTTCATAATTCTCCCGATTTTTCTTCTCTCTCTGTCGGGCTGTTGTTATGTCTTGCTTCGCCGAGACCTCAGACTGATGAAGACAATAACAGTTTTATGTGCGGCTCGTCTCTCGACCAAAGTCGTTGCCGTCCCGTCCCTAATGAAGCCCAAGCTGTGGCCGCCAGTACAACAGCATTTCGTGTTTTTTCCTCGCTTTATTTTCATTTTTTCCCTCACATTTTGGATTTCGTATTTTTTTTGTATCTTTTGAGTTGTTTTTTGTGAGTTCCAGTTCCCCGCGCCAGCTGCAGATGGCAGATCAAGTCAAGTTGGCCACGTTGGTGCGTTGAGTGTGTGCGGCCCCGGCAGATGAAGCTGTCAATTGTGGGATCACTGTGTGGGAGTTATGTGGGCCATTGGGTTCATTCGAAGGGGAAATGAGTTCAAACCCCTGATAATGGGTCGAAGGATTATGTAAAGCGGCACTGCTGCGTTTTTATGAATGGGGCGAGCCCGTGCAATCCGATTAAGAGTTCAAATGAATATAGTATCTAAGGCCCGCTTGGAACTCACTAAACGCGAAGAGAAGTTGGCTCATGCAGTACCAACAAAACGAGTAATACGAATTTTCCCAGCCATATTCAAATGACATTTCCCAGAAGTGAACATTTCTGGGCGTGCACACCTTATCGTGTTTTGCTTTCAACACGCCCCCAGCATGTCAAATTACAGTTAACTTGTTAAGCACTTCCCATCTATGTATCTCAAATGTATCTCCGCCGGTGAACCCTAAGCCGGAAACGCCTGTAGGCGTGAGATATCTTCATCGACATTGTTCGGCGGCCTTCTGGGAAGCGAAATCCCGTCGATGGATCTATACTACCCTGCTGAAAGGGCACAGCAATTATGCAGGTATCGTCCCGCCGACTATCTGTGTCACTCCTTGGGGGAGTTTGCTCAAGGATTACTCTCCACTCTCCACTTGAGATGCAGACTCACCCTCGCCCCTGCGTTCGGTCCAGTCCTTTGATCTTTCCTTTCCGTCCTCGATTTTGTTTCTGGTATTTCGTGTTCGTAAATATTTCATAAGCATTTAATTGTATGGTTCTGACTGTATTTTATTTGTGTGGCTATTGCTATCTGAACTCCCTTCGCCACTTGAAAATATCAAATAACAAATATTGATCGCGAGTGTGACAATGATTTATTTGCCTTACACCTACCGCGCTCGAGATCTTATCAAACAGATAGCGATCTGAAAATTATAATATTTGACTTACGGTCTGAGGCGGCCTATCTGGCTGAGGTTGGGGTTTTGATTAAATATTGAAGTTACCTACAGAGTTGATTAAGCCACAAGAAGAGCGTCTGACTTTTACAGACGACAAATTTTATCAGAAAGTTTCATAGCCAAAAAAAGATAAGCAATCCTTTTATCTGAATTTCACTTTAAAGTTCTCTGTTTCTCCATCTGCAAAGAAATGTGCAACTTTCGTGTGTACTCCAATAATTAGGATGCTCCTGCTGATAGTCAATTTCAAAGTTTGTGCCGATAGGCTACTGGTTTTTGTTTTTGAAGATGTTTCCTCTTGCTCTTGGATATGTCAATTTGATAAATGTTTGCCCCTTGTCTCCGTGGATGCCACAAATATTTGTGTTTGTGTTTGTTTTTCGTGAGCAGTTGTGAAAAAAGCGAAGCGGACACGGGTTCGCCGGACATCTCCCGGCATGACTAAACAAATTTATAGCCCACTGGGAACGAAGACTTCTTCAAAATGCCGCCAATGTTGCTCAACTTCCTGTGCAAAGTGTGTGCGTTTCGGTGTGAGTGTGTTTGCCTTACAATTGGCACAGCAAACGGGCAAAGCATAGTGGTGGAGTGGAGCGAGGAGGGGAAGGGGGTGGACAAGCGATTTCATTCATGAATTCATATGTATCTTATAGATACAACGAGCTCTGTCGAGTACATGGGCTGCATCGATAGTGCGGCATTGCCATAAATGAGATTTCAGCCTGTGCGATTTCAGTCGCCGGACTTAGGGCAAATAATAAATAAATATCGGCGGACAGCTCGATCGGATGGATAAATGCAGCTATGAGATACTCTAAGTCAAAACAAAAAGTGGAATGATTTGTGGTGCACACATGCAAGCACGACTCAGCAAGTAAAAATAGATGAAAGTGTTTTCTTTGGAAATGCATTTTATTCCCTAAGGAATTCCGTAAACAAAATCCAAAAATAAGTTATCTACCATATGCTAGAAATATATATTTTAAATAAATCAAAAATGCTACTAAACGGGTAAAATCACTTTCTGCTTAAGCAAATCCAAACGATTGAGAGTTGGGCGCCAAATGTTTATTATGTAGGTATATGGATAATAAGGTTTAGTGGCCAGCAAATAAGTATACAAAATTAAATTCCTGGAGTAAGTATTTTAATAATATATAAAAACCTCCATCTACAGACAAACTTTATCACCGATTCGTTATACCCTCAAGTAGATCAGCTTGGTTGACTAAGTAATTCTCAGCTTCATTTGGTATGCATATCATGAATTAAAACGTCATCCTTTCGAAGACAACGCAGACCTCCCAGCAGCAAAAATTAAACTTTTTCCAGAGAAGTAAATAAACAAAAGTAATAATAATAATAATCGCGTTCGGTAATTTGCATACTCGCCAAAAAAGAGAAGCAAGCACTGCGAGCCCTCGCCAGCTTTGTTAGACGATTTTAATGTCTTAATATATTTCGTTAAATTGAGTCATTAAAATAAATCGCCATCGACGATGATGATGATGATGACGACGACGACGACGACCACAAAAGACGCTGACGATGTCGGCGCCATCACGATCGATCGTTTGCCACAACTTTCCAGTGGAGTTCAGGATGGGGCAGAGTCAAAAGCACGTTACAACCGAGCCCCGAGAGACTTTACGAGAAATAATTGAGATGCACACACACACACACACACACACACACACTCCAGCGGAGAGGGCAAAAACAAGAGGAAACCCAACTCGGAGGGGCAACGGCGGGCGAAACGGGGGAACAACAACAGAGCAAGACACGCCACGCGGTCGCCAAGGAACTGCAACTGCAACAATGATGAAGACATCAAGCTGTAAAAAGCATCAGCGAACCAACGAGAAAACTTGAGGCGGTCCACACAGAAAAATTGAGTTTTCCTCAAGCTGCTACTGCATCCGCATGCAAAAGATACGTAGTATCTTAAAATTAGTAGTATCGTAGTATCGAATTCCACTATCGTAAAGTAAGAAGGTTCAAATCTGCGCTGTTTGGCAACGCTTGCATAAAGCCATTGCATTTGAAATATTCCTAAATATGTGTTTGTTTTCAGTGTGGTGGCACACAGTTTGACGGTCACTGCTTGAGCAGCGGCAGAGGCAGCGGCAGCAACAACAAAGCGCGTGCGTCAGTGAAATTTTTTCCTTGCCTCTTTTCTTTTTTCCGCTGCTTGGGCCACCCGCATTCAATGGCCCGATCCAAACCCGAAAAACGATCCCTGGTTGCTTCATTTGCATGGGTGGGAATGAGAACAGCGAACTGAAATGCTTTTGGCAACGGATATGGCTTTAACTCTTTTTAGAGATTAAAACTATTTCGGATGTTCTGAAGCTGCAAGATCGTGTTAGCAATCACTTACAAATTCAAATTAAAAATATTTAAAAACTAATGAAATATGAGCGCCCAAGTATATCGCCTTTCATTTATAGACTTACAATTAATCGCATACTGCAGAGCCAAAAAGCAAATTGTTTCGAAATTATATAGATTACTCATTACGTCACGCACGCTTCTAATCAATCTGCGGAGAAATCCCAGCCGAAGTCGCTTCACAACTCGTATCACAGAGCATCTGGGGAGCGTTGAGTGGGGCGGTAAGGGTGGCCAATGGCAGTCCAGCCAGCAGCATCACGTACTAAATGACTCTCGCGGAGACCTCGGCGCCCACCCATGTCGGACGGGCACACAGATACGAACCCACACCAGCGTGCCAGAATACTGGGCAAGTTGTTGCTGGCGTTGTTTATTATTTTTGCTGCGGCTGCTAAAGCTTTTTGCCTTTTGCCTTTTCGGCTGTTTTGTCGGATTGCTGGACGCAACTCCTGCTGCTGCCGCTGCTGCCCAGTTTTTGCCTAGCTGTTTTTGGCGCTCGCCGCAGTGGCAGTTGCAGTTATGGTTTCGGTTTCGGTTTGCGGTCGGGCCGCGGTGCACAGTAGCCCCAATGCAATGAAGTTGTCTGTGGATATGTCGGGCTGGGATCGGTGGAGAATCGACTACGAAAGTCCTGCTGTGTGTCCACGTCTGCGCAGCGAAAATAGATGTGGACGGATGGCGGTGCACAGAGAATAAATACTAACAAGATTGGTAAAACTTCAAGTTTATTCTAGTTTTGGACTGTAGCGAAGTGGGTATTCATCCGCTTTTACGGCGAATGGAAAAAATGTCCATATCTGTAGGTAAATCCTCCACGCTTTTTAGGTCTAGAGAATGAAATAGCAAAATTAGCATATAATCCGATTGGCGTGGATTTCAACTAATCACTGTAATTAATAGGCTGCCCGGCAAACGAACTTCAGACAACTATATTAACCAGGGATCGAGCAGAAGAAAACGAAACGAATGAAATGAAATCGAAACGACTGGCGAAGAAGACATCAGCGACAAAAAAACGCGAAAAATATTGCGAGAGATATTGGCAATAAAATTTATTGAAATCTGTCCCCGCGACTTAATGGCCGCATTAAACAAAAGTCGCTGCGCTTCGGCTTTACAGTCGAACTTCTACATCACGGCTGAATATTCATACAACATTAATTGTAAAATTTAACTAGACGGAGTAATGTAAATAAATGATCCAACATTTTAAAATCAGCTAAATACGTCAAATCATTTTCTTAATTTAAGGAAAAAGGGATTGCTAATAAAGATACCTAAAACCCAAATTTGCCATATGAAATGCTTTCGCTTAAAGCTCATAAGGCTGTTCCCCATACGATTCAGGAATATTGCAGAACATGACTATCCTACATAGTGGAAGTGCACTGTGGTTGGGCACTCACCTTATCTATCTGATCGAGCGCCACTTGGGCGTCCACCCAGCTGGTGCGTATGTAAAGATCCGAGAATAATTTCTCATCGACCACATCGCCGTGTGTGTCCGGAACGCGTGGGAGGCTGTCGCGGTCCATTATGGTTATGTTTATAGCCGGATTCCGGTCGGAATCGCGTGGCGGAGATGTGCAGATGGGAGTGTGCTGTGGGATCGGTCTTTCTACAGTGCCTGCCGTTTGTCTGCGTCCGGGAACTGAGACTTGGGAGGCCGTGAACGGATTGTTCGTGGACTTTCGGTTCGATTAATTGTTATTGGAATCTCGTATTTTGTTTGGCTGCATTTTGCACCGCACTCCGCATTTTTATTTTTAATTATTTTGTATTCTTTAATGAAGAGACGCTCTCTCCCGCGCTCTCGCGCTCACTCGCTGAGCACGCTGTGTATCTGAGCTCTCGTTGTGTTGTTTGGTTTTGTTGTGATTGCTGGCTTCGCTTTTGCTGGGTTTTTTTGACGATTAAAACGCGGTTTTCGGGTTTTATCTTGGGCACAATTTCTCAGGGGAATTTGACAGAAATTTCACACATCATTTACACATGGAAAAGCGGCAGACGGACAACTCACGTATTCGGTTTTCTCTCTCGCCTTTCGCTCTTTTACCTTTACTTTACTTTGCACTTGGCGACGCACACACACAAACACTGGCTGGTTGGCTGGCTTTTGTTGTTGCCTGGCATTTAATCCATGAACTTCGCCTCGCATCCGTGAGGTACAATATCTTAGCTTTTCCACGAGTTCTGTGATATCTATCTTGTTAGTATACCACACACAGAGAGTGCCAGTAGTCGGAAATACGAATAACACGTCGTCGCGCTCCGCACTTACAACCGTTTCGTTCGAGGATCGCACGCAGTCTGAGAGATGTATCTGTATCTCGTGGATGCGGCACGCCAGCCAGGCCAACAACTTCATTAGGCGAGCGCGCGCCGCTGTTTCTCTCTCTCTCGCTCTTCAGGCGTCTGTGTGCACCGTTTTGCGCCTGTGTGCGTGGGCGACACTAACACTCACTCATAGACGCTCTCCCCACTCTCTCTCGCTCTCTTGTATCGTGTGCGGCCATTTTGGTTACAGAACGCTCTCTGCGAGGGCTGATTTAACGGTAGCTCAGCACAGAAAATACCGAGGGGTGTTTCAAGAGTTTTTGCGAGAAAATACCAAATTTGGTGTGGACAATTTATAACTTATTTATAATTTTCAATAAATAATAGCCATTAAAAGCATTCTTAATATTACCATTTAGTATTCTCTTTAAGTGAAAATAAATTCCTTACTGTTTAAAAAATGACTTGGTAATATTGAAGCTTTACTCATTAATATGGGGACTGTTTTATCTATTCTTAATTTTTGGGCATACGAATTTATTGCTTGGACCTCACAGTTTACTTTTAGATATACAAATAAAATAAGAACTATAATATTAGCTGTGTAGGTCTAATTTGCCCAGATAGCTCCACCACAAGCACGCTAATTTCGATTGTTGTTATTTGTTTTTTGCACGGCCCACCCAAAGTGCTTTGGCTGCTGGTTTGTTGTTGCCACTGTGGTTTATTTTCGCTGCAGTGGGGACCACCCAAAAATAAATGTGTTGCTGCCTTCATTAAACTGAAACCGCCAAGCGTTGTGGGTGGTCCCCCACCCAACCGCTTCGCTCTGCCGACGTCGGCCTTCAGCGTCGGCAGCGCTGCTCAGTGGAGCTTTCGTCTCCGTGTTTATGTGTGTGTGAGTGCATTTGTTTGGGGGAAGCGCGTGCGTGGCAGGCTGCGGCTGGATGTGTGTGTGAGTGTTCGTGCCGCGAACTGTTGGCAAATTTGTTAGCTTTACATTGCCTGTGTTGTTGGTTTTATGGCTGTTGTTGCTGGCCCATGCGCTGATGTCTGTTTTTGCATGTTCCGATGCTAAGTTATGAGCGGCAGGATGTTTTTGCTCTTCCCTTGCCATTGTTTTTGCAGCTTCTTCGCCCCATGAATCTGAAAGATGCGACGGGTTATGAGTTTGCGAGGACCACACAAGTTGAGATGTTTTCGCGGCAAATTAAAACGCAGAAAAAATTGTACGTCTATTAGTCGAAGGTCTTTAATATTTCCTCTAAAATAGGCTCATATTACGACTTTTTGTAATCGAATTTATTTATTTTTTATTCTTTAATATTTCTTTCGAAATATTCCTGTTGGAAATGAAAAAGAAAACCGTGCCAGTTATATCCTTTCATTTTACTGTGAGGTAAAGAACTAAACTACATTAAATAATATTCTTTATCAATTCATAAAAATTAAAATACTTATGGAGTAAACTATTTTAAATGCGACAATTCACTGGTAACGCAAAACGTTCCTTAGTGTGCACCGTGAATTTAAACCTAATGACATGTGGGCATAAAAACTCTTGGATTTATGAATGGAAATGCATTTGCTTCTGGTATTTCTCCGCATTCCACATTTTCCCTTTCCATCGGAGGCAACAACAACGAAGTAAACAAATAAAAACTCTTCAGAACGACCGAAAAAATTGGCGCTCGCATCTTCAGCTCCATGGAAATTCAAATTGAATGCAACTGCATAGTCATCGTGCTCCCCTCGTGCCCCCTCACTCTAGCTCTCTCTTTCAGGGAGAAGGAGAAGGAGTGGGAGACGGAGATGTGAATGTGAATGTGGACCCACCACCAAGCGAGCTATTACAATCAACAAACAACAACTCTCTCTCTAACTCGCTCACCTGAACTAACGTTGCAGCACATCCATTTGTGGTTCTCTCTCTCTCTGTCTCTTCAAGCTAATCGCTCCCTCACCGCCGTTTTCCTTCCTCCCACCACCTCCCGCTCACTCTGCGTGTGGCGCATTTTGGCGACATGGGCGGCATTTTTTTCTCCAACATGCATATTTTAGCTTTATTTCGCTCTCCCAAGCTTGCGCCATCTTTGGTTGGCTCTCGAGTTTTTGCTCTCCTCTCAATGACTTGCACTTCGTTTGGCTGTCGCTTGATTCGCATGCAGCTCCAATTCCCCAAGAGAGATGAAATGAGAGGGAGAGATTTCAGATTGAGAGATTGATATTCACACGCACGCTCACACACACAAATTCAGCGTCTGTGTGGCGGCAGCTGCCAATGGACCACCAACGAAGCACAGTTCGCTTTGAGAGCTTCATTTGCCGTTTCGGGGATAGTGGGAGAGCCGGAGAGATGGGGAGAGAGCTGCGGAGCAGCAGGGGGAGACGGAAATGTTGTTGCTTTTATGGCTGGAGTGGAAGTTTGGATCACTTCTTTGGCCGCCTGGAAGCAAAAACAGCTCTTAATCGGCGTTGATCCACGCTCAAATATCATTCACGTTTCCTAGTAACATCGCGTCGGGCTCTGTAATGAAAAGTGATTGGCGTACTTTGAGGCGCCTTAATCCTCCATATGTACAAATATTTATACATCGCCCCAATTCGGGATTGTAAAAGTGTAGTATAAAAATATGACTATTCTTAAAACTCCAAAGAATTACCACTTAATCTAGACTAAGGTAGTAGACAAATGTTAATTTCTTTCTATGGCTTGTAGAATTTATATTTATGAGGAATTTATACAAGGCATTGCCCTAAAAAGTGAATGATTCCAACGGTTGCTCTCGCCCATTGCTTAAGCTGGATTCTAACCCTGTTCTGCTCGCTCCACTCTCCGCTTTCTCTCCCTCCTTCGGCGACTTTAACGACAGGCTGTTTGTTTATAATCGTATAATGTCTTAATTTATAGGGCAGCGTTGCCTAGACCTCAGCTGATACACAATCCCCCCGACCCGCTCGCCGATCTCCGTGGCGATGCAATTGCATTTGTCATTGGCCTATAGCGCCATTACCATTATCCGGCTGGTTGTTTCACTGGACTCTCCTTTTTCCACCGCCACAACCCATTCACAAGGACTGCATTAAGAGACTTATGGCGATCTTGCACGGGATTCAATGACGCCAAAGGTTTCTACCTCAGATTTCTTTTGTAGTTTAGCTATGTACATATAGATTTAAATATATTGATGCATAGTAAGGCTATAAATATATCAATTTAAAGGTTATTATATTCGCTTATTTGTGTTTGATCACCACATTTGGTACTTGCAATTATTTTCTGTGTACCTCTTGCACAAGCCACTCACAGCTTAACTGCATTTGCAGTCGCGGAGTGCACGCTAAATGTTGACGTCGCTGCCGCATTATTGCGGTGCATTTAATGTAATAATTACTATTTGCCACCGGTAATACGTAGGCCGCGACTCCGAGTCCCCAGCGAGATGGCGTGTGTGGTTGGGGCGACTCCCCTTCCTCCTTCCCCTTCCAGTTCCCCCGATGGCTCCGTATCCCGATCCCCCGGTGCCTGCGGTCTGGGTTTGGGTTAACTCGTTATCTTGGCGTCGGTTTTTGCGGTTGGCTCTGCGATCTGGGGGACCAGATCGGACTGGGCCTGGAACTGGGATCGGATCGGATCGGCTGGGTTCGTTTATACGTGTAATCAACCGCCACGTCCAACGGCGACCGGCGACCGGCAACCGGCAACCGACATCACCAACGGAGAAACTGGGGAACTGAGCAGTCTGCCCCCGCCCCTCGACGGTGTGTGTGGCTTTTCCAGCTTCTTGTGTGGTCCTGCCAGGCTTTCAGCTCTGCTCCTCGCAGTGCACTTGGCAAAAATAATGGGCACACATTGCAGCATTATTTGTTATAAACACCGCCTGCAATTAAGAGTTTTTCTGGCTCAAAAGGAAAGTCATAATAAGTCATAATAAATAAGGAAAGAATTGCGATAATTTTGGCTCGTGTTCTATGGCCATCTAATTATTTAGGGTTAGGACTTAAATTGTGCAAGTGCACGGTGAAAAAGCTCTCTAAAAAATAAAATAGCATTTTCTAATATCGCGACCACACTTTGGTTGTATTGCTTTTACTTCGTTACCTAATATAGTTTCCTAATTTAGTTATCTAATTTTTAAAAAACCGTTTATCAGGTTTATTAATAGAAACTCACCCAAAATTTGTTCAGCAGAATATGTTCGTTTTTCTGCGTGTAACCCCACGTTCCATCCTACTCAACTTCGAACTGGGACTATTTCGGCTTCGGATTTTGTTTTCGCTGGACTTGGCTCTTTTTTTGCGCGGTACAGATCGATGGGTTTTGGGTTATCACTGAGTGAACCCACGCGTGGTGACATTTCCACCAGAGGTGCTCGCTGGTGGCCCCTCAGATTTTGGGAGGCTTATAAGGTGGGAATTAATTGGCAGCAGTAACTAGTAACTCAGTACTAACTAACTAACAAACTACTGCTAATTCCATATATATTTTGAAGAGGATTTTAAGACCCCATACTATGATTGATTGGCAATATAACTTTGCTTTCTGCTCTACATTAAGATGATCATTTTGAGAACCCAATTTGAGATGAACCATCCGACATTGCAATGTTCGCCGATCCCTTTGAGATGCCCGCTGCAGGTCCCCAACCCATAAATTCGCTCGTAGTCCCCGCTCCGCCGACATCAGTTAAGCTCAGCGCATAACCCTTTTTGAAGTCGGATGTGTTAATGTGGCTGCAAGACGATAACGACAATGAGCGGGACGGAGGCGGGCCAACAACAAGCTTAAGATAGATATAGGAGTAAGGCGATAAGCCGGAACGTCACCGGGTCTGCTGTCGTCGTCGTCGTCGAATCCACGGAGATCGTGGAAAAATCCGGGGAGCTGGCGGGTGCAACGGGCTGGGAGGCGGAGGCGAAGAATGTCGACGCATGCGTTTTGCGTTGGCTGTCAAATTAATTTCACCCGCTGCCCCAACTGCGATTCCGGCGACCATGACGACACTGCGACTGCGTGGGCGCTTTGGGCCAACCTTGTTGCCCTGCACCACCACAACCGCCGGCGGAATTTACATA